GTGCGCACGCGCACACTGCCCGTTCAGCATTGCGGTCATCGGAAGCCCGCCCCTCAGGGGGGCGGGCTTGCGATGATCGAGAGTGCGATCTGCCTGTCCAAGATAGGCAGATCGTACATTTTTTAAATCCCTTTACAACCATCGCAAGACTAAAGTCTTGCGATGGTTGTAGAGTGTATGGCCACCTTTACAGTGATTGGGACAGGTTTTCTGACATGCCCAATTGGTGTATGGCAAAGAGTTGTAGGCCAGGAGGTGTCTGACTGGCATCACAGACAATATTATGTCTATGGACTGCGGTTATCTTTCTGAGCAATAAGATATTGCAGACAGGGCATTTTAATAATGTTTAAATGAAAATAGAAAAGAAGTCTTGTTCTTTTTATTTTGCAAGGTTTGGAGCTATCCACTGAGTCCAATGAGAAGTGCTTCCAATGTACCTATTGCCGTAATGCTTCTATAGATACACTAGTTTCCACATTGCAGCATCCAAACTTTGATCTTTTCTACAGGGAACAGTGGATAATTTCTACTGGAATATATATAGATATATATATATGTATATATATATATATACACACACACTATACAGATGTGTACAAATTTGTTGGTACCCTTACAGCTCATGGAAATAATGCTTCTTTCCTCCTGAAAAGTGATTGAATTAAAAGCAATTATCTTGTGTATACCTACATGCCTTTGGTATGTCATGTAAAGTAATTAAAGTGTGAAAAGAGATAATGTATTGCTTAGTCTGCAGAGATATCCTAAAATGACCTGTTTAGATTTGTTGGTACCTCTAAAAAAGATTATAAATAATTGGATCATAGTGATATTTCAAACTTACTGTTTTCAATAATAAGTTTCACATCTTCAATCATGTATTGAGTCAATCAGCTTATTTAAATGGGGAAAGTAGTCATTATGCTGTTTGGTATCATTATGTGCACCACACTAAACCGTGGACTAGAGAACACAAAGAAGAGTTGTCTGAGGAGATCAGAAAGAAAATGATAGACCTGCATGTCAAAGGTAAAAGCTTTAACACCATCTCCAAGCAACTTGATGATCCAGTGACTGCAGTTGTAAATATTAGGAAGAATTTTAAGGTCCATGGGAGTGTAGCCCTCCTCCCTGGATGTGCCCACAGGAAGAATAGTGGTCCTCTATGAGCCTTAGATCAAATAACTCAACAGAAAATGGGGCTTTTCAGGTGCCAGGGAATGTACATATTCATGTAAAACATGTAAAAGCTCATTTACAGGTCCACAGTTTCAATTATACAATATCAATGTAGGACATAAATAATGACATTCTCATGAATTGGCAAAGTTCTTGTATATATAGTAACTAGATCATGTACGATGGCAGGCTCAAAGTGTTTATGAATGCTTCTTCAGGAGCCTTAATGAGAATCGGTGACAACCTGTGGACAAATGCCAGTATCCGGGACATCCATAGGGGGAAAAAGAGAGCAGCAGTACATCACCTGTGTGGGGACTTTCCGGGAAGACCAAGAGAAAGCCCAATATAATATCCCCCTATCTTAGAAAATACATCCCAACATCAAATCAGGACGAAACAGAGGGAAGAGAGCCTAGAAGTGCAAACACCATAAAATGTAGAGGCAAAAAAAATAAATACATACATACATGCGTTCCAATTGTAGCGAGGAGTTACAAAAAAAAGAATATCAAAACTGCCTCTCCTATACGCCCCATCAAATCATCCCAGCTACTGCAGCTTCTACCATAGCCTTACCTCCATATGTGCCCCACTTACGTCTATCTTTTCAGGATGGCCAGCTCTATGAGCCTTAATCTGAATCCTCTTAAACATCTATATAAAGAGCTGAAACATGCAGTCTAGAGTTTCAGGTTTTGTAGCAAAATATCAGAATAAGGGTCCCATCCCTTTTGTGCGTGCCAATTTTATTTGTTTTATTATTTATATATTCTATTAAAACAAAAATCAAATGAAGTCAGATTTTTATTAATCATGAAATGTCCACTGAGGGACTACAATTACATTGGTAAAGTATTTTAGTGAAAATTGAAATTGGGTTTTCCCATTTCCGTGGAAGGGTACCAACAAATTTGTCCATAGTTTATATTATATATCTATATATATATGTATATATAT